CGAAACTCAGACCCTCAACCCTAAACCCTAAATCGGCCTGAAGTTCTGACGATCATCTTCCGAACGAGTTCTGCCCTGCGCATTTGCTGCAGAAAATGGTTGGGTGGCGGGCGGGGGGGGGGTTTAGGGTTTAGGGTTTAGGGTTTAGGGTTTAGGGTTGAGGGTTGAGGGTTGAGGGTTGAGGGTTGAGGGTTTAGGGTTTATAAGGTTTAGGGTTTATAAGGTTTAGGGTTTAGGGTTATAAGGTTTAGGGTTTAGGGTTTAGGGTATAGGGTATAGGGTTTAGGGTTTAGGGTTTAGGGTTTAGGGTTTGGAGAGTTTAGGGCTTGGAGGGTTCAAGGTTTTGGGGTTTAGGGCGCTCCAAAAATCCACTTCCTGGTTCTGAATAGGGAGCCAGTCAGGCACACTTCAGTACTCCCTTGAACGAGTGGGCTTCTGTTGGGGGGGGGGATATATGGTATCGACTTCCCAAAACTCCCACAGCATTAAGAACTACTAAGGTGAGGGGTGGGTTTAGGGTTTAGGGTTTAGGGTTTAGGGTTTAGGGTTTAGGGTTTAGGGTTTACGGTTTAGGGTTTAGGGTTTAGGGTTTAGGGTTTAGGAGTTGGCACATTCGAAGCAAACGGTTGCCGCAAACAGCTGGCTACAACACCTTGGCGAAATCAACTGTGGCAAGAAGTTCGAGTTACGTGATGATCCATCAGCCTCGAAGGCTTGTGCGTTCCTTGGGGACGAAATACTTGAGGACGAAATATGAACCCTAAAAGGATTTATGGTTCATATACCTTATTAATAGGAAATTATAGTAGTGTAGGGTACATGACGCAAATTTCAGGGTTCATTTGGTGCCCAAGGTTCCCTCACTTTTGACCACCGAGGACTATCGGGGTACAGACGGGGCATGTAACCGGATCTCGAAGAAATACCTCCGCTATTCTCATGTAAGCGCTTACAAACCGAAACCAGAGCGCACAACACTCAGTGAAAAGATATCAGAAGGGTTTAATAAGGGGCCGTTCCACAGAATTGTCCCTTTGTGGGCAATAAAAGACAAAGGGCCCTATTGCAAAACAGAAAAACAGAACAAAGATCCATAAACCCATAACTTCTAAACCCGAAAACTTGACCCCTAAACCCTCAAAAACCGTAAACCCTAAACCCTAAACCCTAAACCCTAAACCCTAAACCCTAAGCCCTAAACCCTAAACCCTAAACCCTAAACCCTAAACCCTAAACCCTAAACCCTATCTTCCCGAACTGCACGCCGTCCTTTCTCTCGCAAAAACTCTCTTCGCGGGCGATCCTGCGTCGTTCAACACCTCCCCGGGCCCCTATCGAGCCACGAGCTGCGAAAGGTTGAGTTTAGGGGTTTCGGGTTTAGGGTTTAGGGTTTATAGGGTTTAGGGTCTAGGGTTGGAGGGTTGGAGGGTTGGAGGGTTGGAGGGTTGGAGGGTTGGAGGGTTGGAGGGTTGAAGGGTTTGAGGTTTTGAGGGTTTGAGGGTTGGAGGGTTTGAGGGTTTAGGGCTTAGGGCTACCAAGATTTAGGGTTTAGGGTTGTTTAGAAGCCCTGTAGACCCTCAACCCTTGGTAGCGGTTTGGGGAAGGCAGAGGGCAGGATGAGTTCTGGATAAGCCACCAACAGCCACACCCAACCCTTCGTCCATACAGCCCCTTGCTAGAGTCTAAGAAACATTCACCATACCCCAAACCCGTACCCCTTAACCTGTATGAAAGGACGATATAAGGGAGTCTAAGGGAGGACTTTACCACACCCCATAATTTCTGTTAAGGGGTCTGCCCGAGGGGTATGTTGAATATTTCTTAGATGTTTCGGGTTTAGAGTTCAGGGTTTCAGGCGCTCTCAGCTGGCGGTGGGTTTAGGGACCTGGGGCGATGGAACGCTTCACCCTGAACCTTAAAGCCTAAGCCCCTAAACCCTAAACCCTAAACCCTAAACCCTAAACCCTAAACCCTAAACCCTAAACCCTAAACCCTAAACCCTAAACCCTAAACCCTAAACCCTAAACCCTAGTCTGAAGTAAAGGGCTGGGGGAAATTTCAGGCCCTGGCAAATGGGGGGCCCTTTCCCTTCCTTCGCCTCTACCGCACGCTCAGTCGCCGTAGCGAACTCACGCCCAGGTGTTGTACAGGGAGGGGGCCGTCTTCCAGGCCTGGCCACGGCGTCAAGGGTTCCTAAACCCTAAACCCTAAACCCTAAACCCTAAACCCTAAACCCTAAACCCTAAACACCCTAAACAGGTGTAAAAGCAACAAGGGCAAAAGAAGAGGAGCCCAACTTCGTGCCGATGACTCCAGAGCCCTACCTGTTGGATATCTGGGCTTAGGGTTTTAGGGTTGAGGGCCACAGTTTTGATCAACCCACATATACGTACTTGCAGCAGCAACACTGTGTTGGAGGCTAAGCCTAAGCTCTAAGCCTTAAACGACCCTCAATCTTAGGAGTCGCTCTCTCTCTCTCTCTCTCTCCCTCCCTCCCTCCTTGCGTTAGGTTTTAGGCTTTGGGTCTTGGGTTTTGGATTTTAGGTTTAGGGTTTAGGTTTATGCCTACTTGCACTTTCGGTGGCTTTGGGCTTGGCTGAGGGCTTCAGCCTGCGGGCGCTTCGGGTCCAGGGTCTTAGGTTTGTTGGGGGGTTTCGGGCTTTAGGGTTTCATGTTTTAGGGGTTTAGGGCTTTAGGGCCTTAAGTTGGGGAGGGAGGGGGGGGGGGGGCTTTGGGTCGTAGGGTTCTCGTCTAGGAATTGTGGGGGTTTGGGGCTTAGAGTGTAGGGCACTCGCAAGGGTTTGCTGTGTCACAGCCTGACAGCACACAATGATGAATCCCATGCCGAACATAATACATAGCCTTGAACCCTAAACCCTAAACCCTAAACCCTAAACCCTAAACCCTAAACCCTCAATCCAAAGCCCTAGACGTACTCTGGAAGGGCACATCAGTGGTTCAGGGTGTTTCCAGAATATGGAAAAGAAGGGTATCCTTCACATAAGCTAGACAGCTAGACCCAAAAGTCACCTATTTGCAATTAAAAAAGGTACCCTTGTTGGCTTAAAGGGGCCTAAAAAGTGAACCTAAAACCTCACAAAAAGGGGGAGTGAGGGCCTACTTTGGGTCCTAGCAAGACATCGCCGGGGCAGACCGGCGCGTTGGCCACGAAGTCGTCGATCGGAGGCAGGTTCGTCTGGGGCCGATAAACCCTAAACACCCAATCACACTAGGTATGGCCTTATAGGGTTTAGGGTTAGGGTTTAGGCTTTAGGGTTTAGGGTTTAGGGTTTAGGGTTCAGGGACCTTAGGCCCTACACCCCAAGCCCTAAACCCTAAATCCTATCTACATGCGTTTAGTATCCGGGGGAAGGGATTCCTCTCCTGCTTTTTGGGAAATGCTGTTGCTCCTGATGGTCAGCAGAACACCGTTAGGAGCCCGTGTTTTTGTACGATTCAGCATCTGGGGATGACGACAGTTCTACCAAGCGTTTAGGGTTTAGGGTTTAGGGGGGTTTAGGGTTTAGGGGTGTTTAGGGTTTATCTCCAAGCATGTTGGACACAAAGCTTGGCAACTGGTCTGCTCTGCAGAGAAATGCCACCACGAAAGCCACTGAACTCATGATCCCTAGATCCCAGATCCCGAGACCCTAAACCCTAAACCCTAAACCCGCCCAAATCCTAAGCCTTCCTTAATGTGGGGTATATACTCTCTGGGTCGTTTAGTACGCTCTTCTAATGGAAAATCTCAAATTCTGTTCACGTTTCGTTCACGTCTTCACGCATTAAATTAATACGGTTCATGCGCTTATTTCACACGTTCATTCACTTATAACCGCATTCATAAAGTTCTCTTCTCTTTTCTCTCTTCACAATTAGCATATTCTTATTAGTATGAAGAGAGCATATTATTAGTATTATTATGAGCGGCCAAATCAGAATTAAAGACGGCCGCAGTAATTATATTATTCATGCGGACACGATATTAAAAGACTTATTGTGTGTGCCCGCTAATATAATCATAGTATTGTAATTACTGCCCCGGGCCTATATTATATTAGGAGAACGGCCCGGGATATATTAATTAGAAAACGAGGGGCCCATACTTCAGAACCCTTTTAAGACGGTGAGGGACCATATTAAGGGACCATATAGCTACTACCCTTGGAGAGACTTCAGATCCCTAGTCCCAAGGTCAGAAATCCACCCGAATACCTAAACCAAACCCTAAACCCTAAACCCTAAACCCTAAACCTTAAACCCTAAACCCTAAACCCTAAACCCTAGGCCAGAAATCCACCCAATACCCTTGCGCCATGCAGCATAGGGGGAGAAGTCCGGGGTCTCCGCAGTGAAGTCCTTGCCACCAGTCTTCACATGTCCGCTGCTGCTGCTGCTGAGGGCCACGCCAGAAAGCCCTAAACCCCAAACCCCAACCCCAAACCTCAAACCCCAAACCCGAAACCCCAAACCCTAAACCCTAAACCCTACATCCCTAAACCCTAAACCCTACACCCTACATCCCGAACCCTAAACCCTGAACCTTCAGGCCGCTGCCTTGCAGATGTCAAGGCCGCCGCAGAGGAGGCCGACACCATCGGCGTACTCGCCCGTGACCACGTCCTGCAAGTACCCGGACATTTAGGGTTTAGGGTTTAGGGTTTAGGGTTTGGGGTTTGGGGTTTAGGGTTAGGGTTTAGGGTTTAGGGTTTAGGGTTTAGGGTTTAGGGTTTAGGGTTTAGGGTTTAGGGTTTAGGGTTTAGGGTTTAGGGTTTAGGGTTTAGGGTTTAGGGTTTAGGGTTTAGGGTTTAGGGGTTAGGGGTGAGGTGAGGTGAGGGTCGACCGGGGCACGAGCCTGGCCTAACAAAAGGGCGGCCCCTCCGGCACAAGGCTTAAGAGGCCAGCCCCAACAACACACGACACGACAACCACAGAACAAAAAGCAACAGCAACGCGAAACGAACGAGACAACGCAACGCTCTGCGGACCTCCATGGCGAGCTAATTTGCCTTCGCCCTGACCACCCAAAAGCTCACGTCCTTTACCGCCTTTACCTGCGCGAGCATCTCGATGAGGTTTAGGGTTTAGGGTTTAGGGCCGTTTAGGGTTTAGGGTTTCGGGGGCCCCCTAAACCCTAAGACGGGTTCAGGGGTGAGGGCTAAGGATTTTGGATTGTGGGGCTTTTAGGCCGCAGGTTTACGGAGTTCGACGCTGTGCGGATCGGCAAACGATTCACGCTACTCAATCCACGGGTTCTGGTTTAGAGTTTAAGGCTTAGGGTTTAGGGTTTATGGTTTACGGTTTAGGGCTAGGGTTTAGGGCTAGGCTTTAGGGCTAGGGTTTAGGGCTAGGGTTTAGGGCTTAGGGCTACCCCTCGGGGTTCTAAACGCCAGTCCACGGTACCCAAAAGAAGAGGGTTTTTAGGGTTTAGGGTTTAGGGTTAGGGTTTAGGGTTTAGGGTTTGGGGTTGAGGGCTTTGGGTTTAGGGTTTAGAAAAGAAATGCACGGAAGACCCTTTTGGGGCTAAGAGCTTCCCGGCGAACGTTTTCTTCCCACCAAGCATCCCGCAGAAAAGGCTGAAGTTGTACCCAAAAATATCCGAAACTTCTAAATCCAAAACACTGAAACCCCAACTTTGAGCGGGCCCGGATGATTCAGAGGAATCCCGAAGCCCTAAACCCTAAAACCCTCGGATTGACCTTTGGGTTTCAGGTTTCAGGTTTAGGGATTTAGGGATTTAGGGATTTCGGGTTTAGGGTGTCAGAGCTCCTGCGCCACCAAGCCAGCAATCGCCATCATGGCCAGGCGGCCGTTGTTGAGCTCCTGTCAGGCAGACCGAACACTTGAAAATTCAGGTTTAGGGTTTAGGAGGATTTAGGGTTGAGGGTTTCGGGTTTAGGTTTTGTGTGGTCTGCGCTATGGTCGCTTCTGTGAATTCTTGTCCCTCTTGGGTCTAGTGTTTTAAGAAGGCCCGGTACCCAAAAATGCACCCGAATTTCGAGAACTTACCACCTGAGGATCAGAGGTCTTTGAAGCAGTGGCATCAGCCGACAGCCCTCTTCCTATTTCCCGGACGACCGGCCCATCACGACCCGGGCGGCCCTGGCTACGAAATGTCCAATGACATCTGAAGCATTTGTGGGCGAAGCCTAAACCCTAAACGGCTTCTGGTTGAAGCTTGCCGCAATTGTATATAAACCCTAAACCCCAAACCCTAAACCCCAAGCTCGGAACTCGAACAGGGACTCGAGGGGATGAGGATCCACAGCCTAGGAACACACAAAGGGATGTTTAGGGCTTAGGGTGTAGGGTTTAGTTGGGGTTTGGGGGTTAGGGCTTGGGGTTTAGGGTCTATGCGTATCTGGGCACCTGACCCCCCCCCCCCTGTAGAAAGGAAGTCTCAAACTTGGTAGCCCAGTAGCCATATTACAATAAGGGGGCCACCCTTTTTTGGGGTTGGTTACTATTTAAGGGAACCTAAACCCTAAACCCTAAACCCTAAACCCTAAACCCTAAACCCGAAACCGAAAAAAAGAAAAGGGTACCACCGGGCTACCAAGCCAAAAGCTGCCTGGCACTGGACGCTCTCCCAGCGGTTCCAGATCTTGGAGGGGTAGTCCTCGATGATGATGCCCTCGCGGAGTCTTTTTTGGGTTTAGGGTTTAGGGTGTAGGGTTTAGGGTTTAGGGTTTAGGGTTTAGGGCTAGAATAGAATCCTCTGACTAACATGCAAAGATTTGCGATCCTCTTAAGGGAGATATACGAAAAAAACATCCCAGGGCCTCCCTAGTCTAGGTTACTGGCTGAAAGCACCAGGACCACTCGGAAACCCTAAACCCTAAACCCTAAACCCTAAACCCTAAACCCTAAACCCTAAACCCTACACTCACACACTTGACTTTGCATCGCTTCCATGGTAGCTCTGCTTGAGATACGCTGCTTTTTTTGGCAAGCAAAACACCTCAATGTGGAGCCCCCTTGAGGGTTTAGGGTTTAGGGTTTAGGGTTTAGACCCCATGATTCTCAAGGAGACTGGAGGTGCTTCATGCTCCGGAGCACATGCACCATCAGGCGGTTCATTACGGCTTACGAGCCTCAGGGGCCCCTGTCAAGCCTAACCACCTACACTTACTTGGTAGCCCAGTAAGCAGATTATGATAAGGGCACCCTTTTTTGGGGTTGGTTTCTGTATAATATGCAAAAGGGAACCGTGAACCGTGAACCCTAAACCCTAAACCCTAAACCCTAAACCCTAAACCCTAAACCCTAAACCCTAAACCCTAAACCACTGGGCTACCAAGCTGAACGCCGACTCCGAAAACCCCGAAGCCTGCAAGCCCTGAGCCCCCGAAAGCTTTAGGCATTCAAACTCCCCCTAATATTAAACCCCCCCCTACCCCCTCATTGATATTAAATACCCCCCCCCCCCCCACAGTTACATTATCGTATGTTGTGGGGTTTTTTGCACGTTATATAAGGAGGCAGGGGGTTTGATATCAGGGGAGGGGATGAAATTCAACTCCTGGCTGGCCTTCCATCCGAGCACGTCCCAAGGGCGGTCCTTCAGCACCGTTCCCACTGGGGCTTCGGGTTTCTCCGGGTTCCGGGTCCGGGTTTAGGGTTTAGGGTTTAGGGTTTAGGGTTTAGGGTTTAGGGTTTAGGGTTTAGGGTTTAGGGTTTAGGGTTTAGGGTTTAGGGTTTAGGGTTTAGGGTTTAGGGTTTAGGGTTTAGGGTTTAGGGTTTAGGGTTTAGGGTTTAGGGTTTAGGGTTTAGGGTTTAGGGTTTAGGGTTTAGGGTTTAGGGTTTAGGGCCCCAAAACCCTAAAACCCTGAAACCCTAAACATTCAGGGGTGCGGCTGCAGGCTCTGCCAGCTCCAGCAATGTCTGCCATGGTCTCCCTCCCCCCCCCCCCCCCCGGTTTTAAGGGTTTAGGGTTTAGGGTTTAGGGTTTAGGGTTTAGGGTTACAAAAAACTGCCCTCTAGAGGCCCTCAACTCCTAAATCCCCGCCCCCAGGAAACATGAGCAACCTCTCCTCAGGGGGCTTGCAGATGTAGGTGGTGAGCCACTCCAGGCACATGATGGTGAAGACCACCTCTCCAAGAGTTTAGGAAGGGCTTTTCCCTAAACCCGAAACCCTAAACCCTAGACCCTAGACCCTAAACCCTAGACCCTAGACCCTAGACCCTAAACCCTAAACCCTAAACCCCTGCTTCTTTCACTGGTTCTAGGCGTTCGCAGCGAAAGATTCAGGAGCCCCCCTGGACCCCTGAGTCGTCCTGATGGCCAGAAGCTTTGTGGCTTCTGGTGGTGAGGGCTAAGGCGCCACGTTGTGCTCGTTAAGGTTCCAAGGTTTAGGGTTCCGGGCGGTTTAGGGTTTAGGGTTTAGGGCTTTGGAGTTTAGGGCTTCGGGCTTAAGAGGAATCGGACTGTAGAGTCTGTAGACGGCACAAAATGTTGAACTTCCACCCGCGATGAGGAGGTTCCAGATCCCATCACCCAACGACCGTCGTTCACACTGGGTTTAGGGTTTAGGGTTTAGGGTTTAGGGTTTAGGGTTTAGGTTTAGGGTTTAGGGTTTAGGGAGTTACCCACCTAGGCCCATGCAGGCCCCGGGAACGAAGTAGTAGGTTAATTTGTTCACCGAGTTCCCCGTGCCCTTGTACAACCCTAAGCCATGAACCCTGAGACCCCTGAACCCTGAACCCTGAACCCTAAACCCTAAACCCTAAACCCTAAACCCTGTGAACCCTGCACCCTGAAACGCCCACATCCTAGGCCACTTAACCTGGGCACCGCTCGCCTGCCACATGCCTGCCATAGGCAGCCTCGCGCAGGAGAGTCTCCACCCAGGGAGCCCAATACATTGGGGTTTAGGGTTTAGGGTATAGGGTTTAGGGTTTAGGGTTTAGGGTTTAGGGTAACAACTCCTCAATTAAGGAATCTACCTCCAGTCATCTTAAGGATCCCTAAATTCTGTTTTCAAGGTATACGGCATACAGCCTAAGATCCAGAGCTTCCTCGGGGAAATAAAGGGTGCCCTTTTCTGGCTTCAAGGGGCCAATGAAGGGAACCTAAGCCCCGAAAACAGATTTGGCCTGCTACGGGTCCTAAGACTCCTTCATTCGGGCTCTTTTAGGGTTTAGGGTTTAGGGTTTGGGGTTTAGGGTTGAGGGTTTAGGGTTTAGGGTTTAGGGATTAGGGGAACCCCATAACATGAAGGGATGTGGCGTTGATTCATAGCAAGGACCCTCGGAGGCCCCCAAAACACGGTGTAAGGCTTTATCGCCTACACCTTCGAAACCCCATGAGCCCCATGAAAAGCCCTAGACCTTAGCAAAAGCCCATGAGACCCTAAACCCGAAACCCCAAACCCCAAACCCTAAACCTGGCAGTAAATCCTAAACCCCTAAACCCTAAACCCTGAAGGTGCCTTACGGGCCGTGTGTTCCATACAGGAAGGGTGAACTGTTAGGGTTTAGGGTTTAGGGCCGTTGAGGGTCTTGGGTTCGCGGCTCAGAGTCCCTGACCCCTTTGGAGGCACAAGAAAGCCACCCTGCTGACCCTGAACCCTAAACCCTAAACCCTAAACCCAATACGCCTCCACCCGCAGTCGAACCATACAAGGTCTATGGCCCATCTCCCAGAATAGAGCCGTACGGCAGTATGGGGCAAACCCTGGAAGGTATTATTCCCTGGGCCCTAAACCTTAAATCCTAAACCCTAAACCTTAATCCTAAACCCTAAACCCTGAAGGTGCCGCTCCCAGGTTTAGGGGGTTCTTTCCTGAACGTTCTGGTAGCCCTAAACCCCAAACCCTGAACCCTAAACCCTGAATTCTAAACCCTAAACCCTCAACCCTCAAACTCATCCCTGCACCCCGCGGGCCCTGAGCCGTTCCCGGGCTTAGGGTTGGGGATTTAGGGTTTAGGGTTTAGGGTTTAGGGTTTAGGGTTTAGAGGTCGAGGCGCTGGGTGATGTTGACCAGGGGGTTGTTGCTCATCTTCGCCCCGGAGGCATAGTCGCCTGGGTGGGCCATGGCCGAAGAGCGTGCCCACTTTAGGGTTTAGGGTTTAGGGTTTAGGGTTTAGGGTTTAGGGTTTAGGGTTTAGGGTTTAGGGTTTAGGGTTTAGGAACCCAAAACCCCCAAAACCCTCAACCCCTAAACCCCTACACCCCCCCCCCCACCCCCAAATTCTAAACCCCCAAACCCTACAACCCCTAAAACCCCTAAACCCTAAAGCCGTAAAGCACCCCCAAATCCCCTAAAGCCCCCAAAGCCCTTAAAGCCCCCAAAACCCCTAAAACCTATAAAGCCCCTAAAACCCCCTGAAACTCCTAAAACCCCTCTTAAAGCCCCTAAAACCCCGCAAGCCCCCTCAAAACCCCTCAACCCCCCCTTCCCCCAACAAAAAAGCCCTAAAACCTTCAACTCTCAAGACTACTCCGTCAGCTGGAATCCCCAAAAAACCCAGAAAACCAAAAAACAAACAGGGCTAAAACCCTCAAAACCCCCTAAAACCCCTAAAGCCCCTAAAACCCCTAAAACCCTAAAAACCCCTAAAACCCTCAGCTCTCAAGGTTTGCCCCGTCAGTCTGGGCGACCCAGGAGATGGTAGCCGGCGGAGACGTGGAACCAGTGGAGCACCTCAGAGGCTCTGAGAGCTTATAGAGCTTGCAACCCTGAAACCTTGAAACCTTGAAACCTTGAAACCTTGAAACCTTGAAACCTTGAAACCCTAAACCCTAAACCCTAAACCCTAAACCCTAAACCCTAAACCCTAAACCCTAAACCCTAAACCCTAAACCCCAGACCTTTCCCGGATGTGACGCTTGAAAGGAGCGCGTTAAGTCCCAGGTACTGCGAGCATCGCCACCCTGCCGTGCTTCAGCTCCATAGCTCGGTAGTTGAGGATCTCCTTGTCCAGAGACACACTCTTCAAAGAGCTTCGGGGGTTTAGGGTTTAGGGTTTAGGGCTTAGGGTTTAGGGTTTAGGGTTTAGGTTTAGGGGTTAAGGGTCTACGTGCTTTCAGGGGTTCGTTGCGCTTTGCGTGGGTTTGAGGTCCCAGAGATCTTCAGATTCGGGAATTCAAGTGAAAGCAAGAGGACCCTGTGAACCACGAAAAAGCCCAAAGCGAACCCTGAACCCCTAAACTTCAGCCCCAAACCCCAAGCTACGGGCCAACCCTAAACCCTAAACCCTAAACCCTAAGCCCTAAACCCTAAACCCTAAACCCTGAATCTAAGAAAGGTCTTCGAAACAGCTGGGATGTCCTTCTCCGTCGCCTTGGCGCTGAGCCCCGCCGGATCCCAGAACATGTCAGGGAGAGGGCCGCCGGTGCCGGCAATCAGCTCCTGGTTTAAGGTTTAGGGTTTTAGGGTTTAGGGCTAGGGTTTAGGGTTTAGGGTTTAGGGTTTAGGGTTTAGGGTTTAGGGTTTAGGGTTTAGGGTTTAGGGTTTAGGGTTTAGGGTTGAGGGTTGAGGGTTTAGGGTTCAGGGCTTAGGGGCCTGTGGGGTTTCGGGAAAGGATTGTAGGGTATCAGAGTGCTTGCAGGGTCTGTAGGGTTTGTAGGGTTTTAGGCTGCGCGCTTTAAGGCTGATGGGAATTGCCGGGCTTACTGGCCCTGTGGAGGCATTGTTGGACTTAAAGTAGGGTATCAGAGGCCTGTCTTGCTCAAATCTGGGACCTGCCGCCGAGAACCCTAAACCCCGAACCTTAAACCCACAACAAACCCCTAGACCCCAAAGCCTAAACCTTATAAACCACAAAACCTCACACCCCAAAAACCTCAACCTTCTTGGGCAGATTTCGACACCGTAATGTACCCTGAACTGGACTGTTAACGTGGAGTGGTCCAACCCATCAGCGTGGGTGAGTTTCCAGGCTGTTCAAGGCTCTTCGGGCTTTTCTGAGAGCTTCTCCAACAAAGACACCCTCTCTAAACCCTGAACCCTAAACCCTAAACCCTGTAAACCCTAAACCTCTCTCTGTCTCTCTCTGTCTCTCTCTCGTCCTGCGCAGGTGTCAGGGCACGCAGAGGCGAGTCGGTGTAGAGCGACCAGTCGCCCCAGGCCTGTCCTGTTTCGAAGGAGCCAGGGACAGGAGGAGTGCTTTTGCTTTTAGTAAGGCTTCTGCTATCTAGAACTAATGGATATGGAAGGTCTAAGCCTCTTAAGCTTAAACATCCTAATGAGTCTTCGGCCACTGGTCTAGCTTTCCGTTGCGTTCTCCTCTTTTCTTCCTGTTCTTCGAAGCATGCAGGTACGGACATCTGAGACGTCGTCACGCTGAACTCACGAACAACTCCCTCTCCTGTGAGGCCGTTCTGGAAGAACATGCCAATGATGGCCTTTCGTGTAAGTTTAGCACATGTTGAGCCTATCCACCCCTTTGAGGTTTCGGGTTTAAGGTTTAGGGTTTAGGGTACCGGGCAACCCTTGCAAGTCCGCCGGAGGAATAGGGGCAACGCAAGATGGTCCTAAGTGTACCGTAAACCCTTAACCCTTAACCCTTGACCCTTAACCCTAAACCCTAAACCCTAAATCCAACCCTAAATTACAACCATAAAACTTGGAACCTAAACTTTAAACCCTATGCATATGTTCTAAGGGGCGAGGAGATTCCCAAAGTCCAGGCTAAAGAGATGCCAGAAGGATCAGGGTTCAGGGTTCAGGGAATAGGGTCCACATAGAATCCCTTTGTAACCTCGACTTGCAAACCCTACGCCCTGAAACCGCTGCCTACACCCCGAAGCGCCTAAATCCGCCAAACCCTAAACCCGAAACCCTAAACCCTAAACCCTAAACCCCCTACTGAGCACCCCTTGGTAGCCGAGCAACCATATTGTGACAAGGGCACCCTCTGTCTTGGCTAGATACTTTATAAGGTAACCCACCACGGGGCCACCAAGCTCCTAAACCCTGAAGCCTAGCCCTAAGCCCTAGCCCTAAACCCTAAACCCTAAACCCTCAAGCCAGGTCGACTACAACGATCGACCCAGTGGCCATCATGGCCAGCCGGCCATTGGCGATCTCGGCAGCGAGCTTCTTCTCCTTCCTCCGCGGCTTAGGGATTAAGGTTTAGGGTTCAAGCTTTAGTGCTAGGGCTAAGGTTTAGGGTTTAGGGTTTAGGGTTTAGGGTTGAGGGTTGAGGGTTGAGGGTTGAGGGTTGAGGGTTGAGGGTTGAGGGTTGAGGGTTGAGGGTTTAGGGTTCAGGGTTCAGGGTTTAGGGTTTAGGGCTAGGGTTTAGGGGGTGTAAGTTTTATGACAGCCCGAGGAGCCCCGAATCCCAACACAAAGTCCAGGCCCGAGAGTCGCCGAGGAAGAGCCAGGGTACCCTTTTTTTGGCTTCCAAGGGTTTAGGGTTTAGGGTTTAGGGGTTTAGGGTTTAGGGTTTAGGGGTTTAGGGTTTAGGGTTTAGCGGTTTAGGGGTTTAGGGTTTAGGGGTTTAGGGTTTAGGGTTTAGGGTTTAGGGTTTAGGGGTTTAGGGTTTAGGGTTTAGGGGTTTAGGGGTTTAGGGGTTTCGGGGTTTCGGGGTTTCGGGGTTTAGGGAACCTAAACCCCCAAGAAAGTGGTGCGAATCAGGGCCTCTTCTAAGACCAGTCCCCCCCCCCCCCCGGATGCTTGGCCAGGCGTCTGGTCCGCGGGCGCCTTGACGAAACCGTTGGGGATGCCAAGGTTGCCTCACTTGGAGGTTCATGGCAATTATTAACCAAGTATAACTGTACTTATAACTGTGCTTGTAACCATATTAGGGCACGCAGGGGGCTTATTAAGTGGGCTTGCAAGCACAGCTGTAATTGGTTCATAAGTACCCCTAAACCCTAAACCCTAAACTCTAGACCCTATTAACCCTATTAACCCTATTAACCCTATTAACCCTATTAACCCTATTAACCCTATTAACCCTATTAACCCTATTAACCCTATTAACCCTAAACTCTAAACCCTAACCCTAGTGGTTAATAAGTACCATGCACCTCCCAGCACTTTCACGGGAGCGCCAAGGCCAGGGTTACCCAAAGATCCCCAATCCCCCCCAAATAAGGAATAGACCTTGAATCCTATTGATGATCCCTGCATAAATTAAGGTATATTCCTCAATAGGGGGGTATTGGGCTCTTTGGGTAAGTTATAGGGTGATAGGGTGTTTAGGCTGTTTTTAAGGCTTTTTTGGGGTGGGCGGGCCCATCTAAGACCCTGTAAACCCTAGAATAGCTTAAAACGGGTTTCCTTTCTTTGTGGTGATCGGCTTACAAGGGTGAAGAAAGGAGCTTAGGGTAAGGGCTTAGGGGTGAAGCATCAACCCTGGGAACGGTAGTGAAGATGTGCCTACATGAGGTTCAGGCAGCTTGAGCCCATCCGTTGACATGGGTTTAGGGTTTAGGGTTTAGGGTTTAGGGTTTAGGGTTTAGGGTTTAGGGTTTAGGGTTTAGGGTTTAGGGTTTAGGGTTTAGGGTTTAGGGTGCCCGAATCGAACGGAAGTCCAACCTCCCGAACCTTGAAGCTCTTGGGACTCCACTATGGATTTTTGCTTGCTATGCCTGCGAATGCTAAACCCTAAACCCTAAACCCTAAACCCTAAACCCTAGACCCTAAACCCTAGACCCTAAACCCTAAACCCTAAATCCTAAACGCCGGGGGAAGCACGAACAAGCTGCAGGTCAACAGAGTTACAACCTTGGCCACCCTTGCGTGCCCCCGCGCCTGCGTTCTCGAAGTCGCCAGGGGCACGCTTGGGATCATCGACATACCTGAGGGCTTAGGGCTCAGAGGGCCAGGGTTCGGGTGCGTAGTTGATGTTTACATAAGCCCGTGAGCTGCACAGAAAGTAGGTCCTAGAAGCGCCTTGCAAGGGAACGACTGCCAAACTGAGACTGTCCCAGACGCACTCTAATAGGGCAGTGGCATGGTCCCTAGGGTTTAGGGTTTAGGGTTTAGGGTTTAGGGTTTAGGGTTTAGGGTTTCTCCTTGAATAAAACCCCTTAAGTACACTCCAAAACCTATGGGGCCCATACTCCTCTAGACCTTCACGTTGGGATGCCCTGTAGAGCCGGTTCTACAGGATGGATGATTAAGAGTTACCCACGGAGGCTCTTCCCTAAACCGCTCCAAACTCACTCCCTCAACGCGCCCCAAAACCCTGCAGTAAACCGCGACGAACATCCACAATAGTCCCTAAGCCCGACAGCTTGGGGTTGAGGGGGGTTGGGGTCTGTAGGTATAGGGTTTTTTGTTGTGTAAACCTCATTTAAGTCCCCCAGAAACCCCCAAAAAGTCCAGAACACTCATTTTTGGTAAGCTTCGTTGAAGTTACCTATCAAGCCGAAGCCCACAAACTGCACCCAGGGGGCTGGAAGAGCTCGACGCTGCCAGCGAAGAACACCATCTGTGCCCAGCCACTCAGAGGCACCTGCTCAGGGTTCAGATTTAGGGTTCAGGGTTTAGGGCTTCGGGTTTGGGTTTAGGATTTAGGGTTTAGGGTTTAGGGTTTAGGGTTTATGATTGGGTCGGTGTATGGAGGGTCTCCTACCGGTTCTTGTGCAGGAGCGGCTCATAGATTCTCAGCAAGTAGCTTGCAAGCTTGTAAACTGTGGGGCTTGGTTTCTGGGGTTTAGCAGACTCTATTGGGGGTCCATTACTTTCGTAAGCCCCCAAACTTACTGGCCCAAAACCCAAGGAAGTAAAAGTTGAAACTAAAAGTGGAAACTTTCAGAACAAACTACCTTATAAGAAGCCCAAAAGTTGAAAAGTTGGGTTTTGAGTCCGTAGGCAAAGAAGGCCTTGGAGAAGGCGGCGAAGCCGGTGGGAACATCCTTGCCGGAGTCTACGGGCTTCCGCATTCAGTTTTTGGGGGTTGCGGCTTGGGATGTTCAACCACTAACAGCCCTTAATAGGGACTATAGTACCCCCTACTTATGAAGGACTGTTTGTATAAGGGGGAAATCCCCAAAGTTGCGGCGCATATGAACATTCACTTACTGGCTCTGAGTTGGGGAAACTCCGCTTATTTAGGGGATATCAAGTATGGTTCTCTCTAGATCCCTCTTTGGTTCCTATACATGGTCCGGCACCTTATAAACAGGACAACCCACTGTCCACAACTGGGAAGTACATGCTCGGCAGCCCACCCACCCGACAGGCATCCCGATCATGGTAGTTACAAGGAGGGAAGGGACCATATTCAGGGCCCAGATGACCACCTTTAGACAAACCCTACATCCTACGACAACCCAAAACCCCAAGCCCCCCCCCCCCCCCCCGACCCCCCCCAAAAAAAAAAAAGGAAGCCCCACAGCTGATTAGAGGGTTTTTCAAGGAGGGGGGGGTTCAAAGGGGGTTAGGTACCGGGGGAACTTCGGGAAGCTGAGGGATCCTTGGGGAGTAATTAGTAGGGAGCACTAAGAAACCTTGGATTACAAAAACTTCTTGAACCCCTCCCTTGAGAACCCTGCAAGCTTTCGAAAAGCGTCCGTGAACTTGAGGCCCAGGGAAGGAGAGAGGTCACCCGGCCAGCGGTAATACCTTTGGCAAAGGCAGCTTCAGGTTGGAGACTCCTACTGTTACTAGTGCACAATTTCGAGTGACAAGAGGTGATGCAGGCATGTGTTTGTTGATAATCTTCACGACCGGTCGGCAGTTCCCCGGGCTTGGTTGGTGTTGAGGTGTGCGCAGCTCGGCATTCCGACAATGTGGGGGTGGTTTCTCTTGTATATCACAACATAACAAATCCCCACAAATGCAGCAACACTGTGGTCCCTCAAGGCCGTGAAACACAGCTGAGTGCAGGATAAGGGATACCCCTTGGGAACTATTAGGCGCCCGTATTAGCTTGTTTGCCTTGCAATGCTTCCCACATTTAGGAAGACTCTGAATCAACTGCCAATGAATGCGCATTTGGCTCAGCTGCTTGAGATCCAAGAGCAATCTAGGATTGTACAGGGAGCCCTATTTGGCTGAAAAGGGGCTTATAAGGGAACCGAAACGAACCGAAACCCCAAACAGAAGGGGAATAGATGCGTCCTAGGATAATGAAGGATCGCGCCTTCTGAACTTTATCAGGGACCCACGTTTGATTATCCGCGGGCTCTCCATTCTGGCGATTTGAGGTTGTAGGGTTTAGCCATGTAGGAGGTCCATTCGATGAACTAAGGGTGTCATTCCTTCAGAAGAGGTGTGCCTAGGGTCCTTGGGCCAGGTTGCTCGGGGACGATGTACCCCATGCACGCCAGCATGGCCACGCGTCCGTGCTTGATCTCCACGTAGCCTCGATGGCGTCAACCCTATACACCCCGCAGGGCGCCCTCAAGCCTGAACCCCGAATAATGAACTCTGAACCTGCTGCCTAAACCCTAAACTTTAAACTCGGCCCGAAACCCTAAACTCTAAACCCTAAACCGCAACACCCCCCAACACGCAAAAAAACCCTAAAACTTAAACCCTAAACCCTAAACCTAGACCCCAAAAAAAACGACTCTCCAAATTCCCCAAGCCCAAAATACAACCTAAACTCCCCCAATCAAAAAAAAAAACAGCGCAAACCTCCCCCAAAACCTTCCGTTTCCTGACCCCAAGAAACGGCGGCGGCGGAAGGAAGCAGCGTCTCCGCCCTTGGTGAAGCCGAGGGGGTCCTTGACATGGCCGCTTGGAGGTTCATGGGTTCTCATAACCCCAATAAAAAGTCGACTTATCGCCTACTTAGATGACTTAGGGGATTTATAAGTGCAGATATAGTTGGGGTTATAAGTATGTGGCTTTGGGAGGGGGGGGGGGGGGAGGGGGCCGGGTTTAGGGTTTCACAGGACTTGGGTAGCTTTCTTCTTACGGTTGTTCTGCAAGTGCTTTCTTGATTTTTATTTTGATTATGTTGTTTTTTTCTTTTTTTATGGGGGGGGGGGGGGGGGGGGGTGGGCAGGGGGGTTACGGGTTTCATGAGACTGGGGGTTTGGGGCCTAGCTCCCGGGGTTAGGGCTTAAGGTTTGCTTCTTTGTTTATCGTTTTTTGTTTTAGGAGGGGCGGAGGGATTCGTAGGGCTTGGGGTTTTTAGGGCCCGCGGTTGTTTGTTGCATGACATGCGAGGGCCAAGCTTTCTTAGAGTTTAGGGCTTTTTCACCGAGCACGCTGAACATCGATGCCACAGATGGTCTGAGAGTTCACCGAACAGTTCAAGAGCTGAGGACTGTGAAAGCACTCTAACGAAGCAGGGGGCTGATGTTCGCCCTTGGTTTAAGGTTAAGGGTTTAGGGTTTAGGATTTAGGGTTTAGGGTTTAGGTTTTCGGCTAAATGCGGTTGTTTGTTGAGATGTTCCCCTTAAACTAACAGCCCTTAGTAGGGCTTAGAGTACCCCGATCATAATCCCTATGAAGGACTGCTGGGATAAGGGGAAACATCCCAAATGGTTTCTTTTATTTTATGTGGTTTTACTCTCTGTCCCTCTTTTGTTTTGGAGGGGTGGGTGGGTGGGGTGGGGGGGTTAGGGGTGGGTTTATTTCCATGGTTTCTGACAGGAGTCTGTCGAGTTTGGAACGGGGCTTATCTGGATACTGGGGCTTTAGTGCCCTAAGCCCTAAACCCTAAACCCTAAACCCTCAACCCTAAACCCTAAACTAAACCCCAAACCTAAACCCTAAACCCTGGGCTTCTGGGGAAGTAGGGATGAGGGCTTCAAAGGCTGAGGCTTGCAAAGGTTTGCTTTAGCGCTTACCAAGGGAAGAGATTCAGGGTTTAGGGTTTAGGGTTTGGGGCTTCGAGCTTCGGGCTTGGGTTTAGGGTTAGGGTTGAGGGTTTCCGGCAATTCGGGCCTGGGAGTCCATATCCCTGTAGAGTCTCTTGCAGGCTTAGGCAAAGGGGCCTGCCTTACCTGTAGCCCTGCTTACAGCCACCTCTGAAGCTTCAAGAACTCCTCCTACCCCTTCTGGACTAAGTGAGCCCGAAAGGTTCATGATCCATGTACTTCAGAGGAAGTAGAGTCTCATGAGGGCTGTGACCCTCAACCCTAAACCCTAAACCCTGAACCCGAAACCCTGAACCCGAAACCCCAAACCCTAAACCATAAACCCTAAACCCCAGGTTTTGGACTATCTTGGGAGGCTACCCGTGCTGCCCAGAAGCCCAGAAGCCGACGGGTGGCTGAACGCCCAGCTCCTTACAACTTCTGTGCTCTCTTCAGGCAGCTTTTGTTGAGGGACTTGTCTTTAGGGTTTAGGGTTTAGGGTTTAGGGTTTAGGGTTTATAGGGTTTAGGGTTTAGGGTTTAGGGTTTGGGGTTTAGGGTTTAGGGTTTAGGGGTCAGGGGTAAGGGTTTAGGGTGATCTTCCCACAGATCTTCATAATGACGGCTTCATGCTTTCAGTTCTGAAGCTCAGCCGAAGCATCCGTCTCGAAGGCGCGGAGAGGGGACTCCGTGTAGTTGGCCCAGTCACCTCAGCCCAGCATCCCTAAACCCTAAACCCTAAACCCTAAACCCTAAACCCTAAACCTAAAAACCTAAACCCCACCACTCAAAGGAGCGCGGTCCTTACTCAAACCACGGGGAAGGTCTGGGAGTCTTGGGTCGCTCCCTCACGGTTCAGCCGAGTGTCCCCAGGCAGAGCCCGTGAGACCATCCTCCCCAGGGTTTTAGGGTTTAGTGTTTCGGGTTTAGGGTTTAGGGTTTAGGTTTCGGGAGGGTCTAGGGGCTTTAGAGAGAGCTTGCGGCTTGGGGATATCAAGCTTGGGGCTATGGGGAACGTATGCATAGACTTGGGTTTCTATACCGGGGGGTTCTAGAGCAGGGGGTAAGGGTTTAGGGTTTAGGGCTGGGGGCTCTATAGATTCTAGACAGGGTCGATAGGATCTGTGGGGTTTCGGTGGGCTTGGCGGGTGTTCCAGCTGGCTTCACCCCGTGCACAACCCACGTCTCGAGTGCGAAGGGTGTCAACAGACAACGGGTTTGGGATAGGGTTTAGGGCTTAGGGTTTCCACAAACATTGCAGCCCCCAAAACCCATCCGCTGTCAGACGCGCCCCTGCTCCCCCCAAGACCAGATTTTTAAGCTGCAGCAAGAGTACCCAAAGAGCCCAATGCCCCCAAATAAGGGATACATATATATATATATGTATATATATATATATATATATATCATATTAAGGATCCTTTACAAATGAAGGAACATTCCTTAGTTGAGGGGTAGTGGGCTCTTTGTGTGGCCATGTGCGAGTTTACGACAAAAGGGGCTACCCTTCTTGCGGGTTCCCATAAGGAGGATTGTTCTACTCTGGGGTACATGAGGGTGTCCCCTGTTTTGAGAAGAAAACATGTGCAACAACAAAAACCAGCAGTTCTTCCCGCCCTTTGGATAGACAGTAGCAATTTGCAAGCTCTGTGACGTGAACTCTGCATAACATCTTCTACGCCTACATAGAAAAGCCATCTTGAACAAACACAAGGCGCGCTTCGCAACACACGTGCGCAGACCAAACCTGATATCGATGCCTGGAAGAACATCCCGATGATCGCCATCATTGCCAGACGGCCGTTCGCGAGCTCGGCGTTGAGCTTCTTCTTCTTCAGCCTTGGCATCCAGGCGCGCACGGCATCTCAAGTACACCGCACCCTCAACCCTCAACCCTCAACCCTAAACCCTTAACCGGCTATCGCCAAGCATTAACTTTACAGAGCTAGCAAGCGATGCAACCCAATCTTTGTCGCTCGAGGTGCCAGCTCTAAGGAACACGAGCTGCCGCTGCCCAACCTACCAGTCAGCACCCTCCTGAACCTGCGTAGATCCCTGAAACTGCCGGGGCCCTCAGCTCACTGAAGCCGACACCCGACAACCCCTGAACCCTGAACCCTAAACCGTAAACCCTAAACCCTAAACAATAAACCCTAAACCCTAAAACCGAAGGCGAGGCACTCCTCATCCTCGACGGGCTTGCCGCCCAGGTAGGACGGGAGGCCTCACGGCGGGGGCTGCGGGACTGCAGGCTTGATCTTCGGGAGGCGTCGTTTCCTGACTCTCGTTTTACATAAGAAACAGAACACATCTGACATCGTCTGATAGGTAAGCTATATAAACACGAGTTCCAAGAGGAACCTGGGAAAAGAGTACGTTGTTGGGGTTTAAGGGGCTGGTAAGGAAAGATCACCCCGAAAAAAGGGGGATAAGGGCCCTGGTATACATGTGATGTATGTATATGCATACTACGATATAATACAATATAATTGAATACACTTGATATAATATAATATTATATCATATAAAATGATGTCATATCATATCATATCATATCATCTAATATCATGTAATATAATGTTATAAAACATAATATAAACTAATATATAATTCATGATATATAATTTATAATCTATAGTAAAAAATAAAATAATATATATATATATGTCTATGTATACAGATCATTGCTAAACTAAACTACTGGTTCATTGAATGGCTGGTGTAGTCTTTCCTAAAACATATGATTTATCATAACATGTGTTCATCACAAACGCAACAGTCTTGAATGCTACAACTTTCAAAACATCAACTCGTTTTACAATTCAGATTTGTTGCATTTTACGCGGATTGTTCAAAAACAGAACTCAATGTAATGTAATAACAAAAAGAAAGCATAGTATGACATCATGTCCTAAACAGTATATCATAAAGATATATCGTAAAACCTATATCAACCTAAACCGTAAACCTACAAAAGCTTGCGAGGTTCCAAGGGATGTTTGGCCTTACGTCTGCCGGCTTAGAGCCAGTTGACAGTTGAGCGGGGACTCATTTTGGGGAGTTTACGAAAATAAGGGACCCCTATAATATGATGGACCCCCAATAGTAGGATCCCCTTATAGTCGGGACCCCAATGAGGCACCCCCCAAATTCTGGGGATTGCCCAATGTCGCGCGATCCTCTTGCAGTGGTCCTTCTAAGGGGATTTTGGTGATATTTGGGGAAGAGAAAGGGAACCCGATCTTGGGAAATGCACATTTGGTTCTCAAAATCGGAGTCCCTTTTTGGGTCCCCTATAAAATGCGGCACTCTTGTAGTAAGGACCCAAATCAGGACCCCCAATTCAGAGAACGTTTCCGTGTAGTCCCCACTATACTCCCCTTAGAACCTGAACAGAAACATTAATTTCAATATTCTCTTGGGTTTTATATAAACAAAAAAATCCTATGCGGGGTTTAGGGTTTAGGGCTTAGGGTTTAGGGTTTAGCCGAGAAGGAGACAAGGCACCCAGGAAGCCGTAGTCGTAGTTCAGGGCATCCTCGCCAAAGAGACGGGTCTGGAGCTTGCCTGGCGCGAAGGTTGGGGTTTATGGGTTTAGGGTTTAGGGTTTGGGGTTTAGGGTTTAGGGTTTAGGGTTCAGGGTTTAGGGTTTAGGGTTTACGGCTTAGGGTCCAGAATATCGGGTTTCTAGGGCTTAGGGTTCAGGGTTGCCACAAGCTCTTGCAAAAGTGTTAGCTGTTACAAAGGATAGCAACTCAACACATGCGGGTTTTGGGGGGTTCTTACTAGCACACGAAGCCTTCTGCTTGGGGTACATTAAAAAGGCCATCATCTTGAGAATCCCCCCACATGCTCGCGGTGCTTAGGGTTTAGGGTTTAGGGTTTAGGGTTTCGGGTTTCGGGTTTCGGGTTTCGGGTTTCGGGTTTAGGCTCAAAGATCAGGCCTGGAGGGTTGAAGGGCCTCTGGTCCGCAATCCAGAGGTCGCAGAGGCCGCAGAAGACGGTGTACCTCAAGTCAAGGGTTAGGTAGGATTTAGGGTTTAGGGTTTGGGGTTTAGGGTTTAGGGTTTGGGGTTTAGGGTTTGGGGTTTAGGCTTTGGGGTTTAGGGTTTGGGGTTTAGGCACGGTTTAGGGCTCTTCGGTGTACCTCGTGGCAGCCCAGTAACCGTATTGTAAGGATACCTCGTTTTGGTTGGCTCATTTTGTAAGGAACCCAGGACCAAAAACGGGTAAAGGGTACCACTGGGCCACTGGGCTGCCAAGACCTCAAGCCTTAATGGTTTTAGGGTTTGGGCTTTTGGGGGTTTCTAGCACTTGTGCACGTATTTCTTGATGTGCCTTTTCTCTTACATACGTTGACGTATTGATACGAACCCAAAACCCTAAACCCTAAACCCTAAACCCTAAACCCTAAACCCTAAACCCTAAACCCTAAACCCTAAACCCTAAACGAGCCCAAAACCCTCCCTAAACCCCTCGCGGGGACCAGTCGGGAGACCTGGAGGCTTTGGCGTTTGGAGCTGCTGGGAAGCCTCCCATTTCGGACTCACCCCAACCCTAAACTCCAAACCCTAAGCCGTTGGGGTTGGGGTTTGGTCGGGATTCAGGGTTCAAAGTTCGGAGGGCTTGGGAACTCAACCTGGTTTCAGGGTCATGCACGCACGAGCCTGTGACCTTCACTGCCGCCAGAGTGCTGGAACCAGCCGACCGCGGGAACGATGGTGACCGCCTTGAGGCCGTTCCTGGGTGAAGACTCGTGTGCGGCTTAGGGTTTAGGATTTAGGGTTTAGGGCAAGACCCGAGCACCCCGCAGGAAGCCCTGTGCGCAGCAGCAGCCGAGGGGCGGGATGTCGGCGAACTTGAGGTCAGTGCTGGGGGACAGGAACCCCGGGAAGCGGAAGAACTCCTGCACCTCTTGGGACCCGAGGCTGCCATGACCGCGAGCAAGGACATGAAAGAACGCGGGCAATTCCCAAAAGGGCACCCTCTTTATGTCTGTGTGTGTGTATATCTATGTATATATATATATACTCACTAATGATTCACGAATGATTCGGTATGTATAAGGTACCATGACATATATATATATATATACATATAGATGGTACCCCCCCCCCCAGTGACCTGCCCTTTTTCGCCTTGTCTCAAGTCACCCAGCTGCACTGCAAGCAAACTCGGTGTGCAATATAGCGTACTTCCTAGGGCATAAACTAAAATACAACAAAAATCGCATACACGGGACAGTAGAATTCCAAAAAAACAAAACAAAAAAACAAAAGAAAAACAAAAAAGACAAAAAAACACAAAACCAAAAACAACAAAATCCGGAACTCTCAGGAATCCCTATGAGGCTTCTCCAAGAGTCCCGGAAGTTTTGGTGTTTTTGGTGTTTTTGGTTTTGATATTTTGGCTTCTTGGTTCGCCTTCACGGTCACGAGGCAACAACTACGCATGTTTAAGTGTGCTTATGCTAATTGTGCTTTTCAGAAGTAGTATACAAGTGGTCTTTCTAGTGCTTCAGAACTATTTGTTTCGTTATTATGCAAGTAGAACCGCTTCGCTTCTTTTTCAACTAGTGTTTAGTGCCTGTTTTGGTTGTACTCAAGTGTAGGAGACCTTATTCAGCCATTACTTGGTGTTCTGGTAGCTAAATTCGCATGGATAATATTTGCCTGGCAAAAGCGATTAATTATCTAGAAGCAGCATTTGCAATACTTGTCTTGAGAAAAAGCATTCATTGCTTAGAATTGTTTGCTGAAAAAGTGACTCCTACTCGTCCAGGGATACCCCAAAACCCTACAATCCAAACTTCACCAGAGGTTCTCCTGAAAAGCTTGCGCTTTTGGATGTTTTTTTGTATTTGTGAATTTGCTTGTGTATGGCCTTCACTAAGTACTTTTCTAGGATTCTTGTGCATTTTTTAAGCCTGATTGTGCAAGTTGTGTTTTTCAAGCATAGTATATAAGTGGTCTTTATTGAATACTTCAGACATCTTTGTTTCATCGTTATGTAAGTAGAACCGCTTCTATTTCCATTATTGTGCAGTTTGAAGCTTGCTTATGCAAATTGTGCTTTTCAGACATAGTATATAAGTGGTCATTATTGAATACTTCAGCAATCCTTGTTTAGAACCGCTTCCATTTCCGTTAGTGTTTACTTCGTATTTGGTTGAGTATGGTCCTTTAAATAGTATTCACTTGAGTCAAATTGGCCTATTTGCTTAAGAATTAATGTAGTAATTAAATTCGCATAGAATGAATATTTCAAAAATAACAATTGTTTCATGAATATGTAAACATAAGGCATTTCAGTGGACTCTGCAGATAGTATTTCAATAATACTTTGCCTGGTATAAGCACAACTGTTTCAATGCATTAGTTGCTCAACAAAACACTATTTGCCCTTTAAACCACACTTTGCCATATTTTGGTTGAATATGGTGCTTATTTCGTATTGTGGTTGAGTATGGTTCTTTAGATGGTATTCACTTGAGTCAAATTGGGCTATTTGCTTAATAATTACTCTAGTAGCTAAATTCGCATAGAATGATTATTTCAAAAAAGTCTCATGAATATGTAAACCTAAGGTATTTCAGTGGACTTTTCAGATAGTATTTGATTCATACTTTGCCTAGTACAAACACAATTGTATGAATACAGTAGTTGCTCAACAAAGTATTATTTGCCCTTTAAACGCACACTTTGCCATACTTTGATTCAGAATGGTGTCTGTTCCGTATCTTGGTTGAATATGCTCCTTTAGATAGTATTCACTTGAGTCAAATTGGGCTCTTTGCTTAATAATTACTCTGGTAGCTCAACAAGACATTAATCCTTTAAAACGCACAATCTGCATAGAAAAAGCACAGATCTACACATCTAAAAACAGCATTGTCCGCTTCAGATTCAAAATGTAGATTAATCCAATGGTCTGTGAGGTGGGTGTCCCAGTAACTGTCCTTCATTACCCGGTGATCAACTACGCGACTTTTGGGCCTTCGTTGTTGTTTTTTGTTAAAAAGGCCTAAAAAGCCCTAAAAAGGGTAGGTCGCTGGGGGGGGAGGGGTAGCATATATATATATATATATACATATATGTATTAAAAGAATAAAATTATATTATATTATACTATATTATATTATATCTTACATCTTATTATAATATATCTTATATCTTATGATATTGTATCATATATCTTATCAGCTACACGCAGATCCAGGATGCGCGATTCGACCCGATCCTGACAAAAGGGCCCCCTGTCTGGGGTTACAGGCATGAGGAGGCCTGAGGGCCCATCCGGGTCTCTTGCCTTCGGCTGGTAGGGTTTAGGGTTTAGGGTTTAGGGTTTAGGGTTTAGGGTTTAGGGTTTAGGGTTTAGCGTTTCGGGTTTCGGGTTTCGGGTTTAGGGTTTAGGGTTTAGGGTTTAGGGTTTAGGGTTTAGGGTTTAGGGTTTAGGTTTAGGGTTTAGGCTTTAGGGTTTAGGGTTTAGGGTTTAAGGTTTAGGAGATGCACCCACAGTCATGTCTTTCCCCGGCTGTATGGGGTGGCGAAGGGAGGGCCCCACAGCACACAAACCCCAAGTCTTTTGTGTGGTAGGTTTTTCTTAAAATTCCCAAAAGGTCACCCAATTTATACACTTTATGCACTCACCAACATGCATGTATAAGGTAGCATATATACACTCACCAATAACAGTTGAAACCTCGAAACCTCGTGACCCTGGACCACGTAAGGTCCTGATTCATTGCATCGCCAAGGCACGATGTAGCCAGTGCACGCGAGCATAGAGACACGTCCGTGCTTGAGCTCCACCTGATAGCGGCGTTGGGAACGAAACCAATCTTTCACACCAGTCACCAAAACCCACCAGTCATCTGTCACGCATAACGTAAGTGCCGAAGCCAGAAGAATCTCCATAAGATCTGAACCCTGACGCACCCCTCAAAATCAGAAAGTATGCCCTCCTCTATCGGAAAACATCAGGAGACTTGCTGCAGGGCCTCTGACTACAGGTGAACAAGATCCTAGGTACCTGCTGACAATGTGAACAGCCCCGTAAGGGAAGACACATGCGGTGCCGAAACCCGTATAACCTCCAAGGGATTATAGAAGGTACTTATCTTCATATTCTTACATAGGGTGCATATCTTTCCATACCTGTCTGTATATTAGTGCACAGTTTGGGATTTAGGGCCTTTAGGGTTTAGGGCTTTAGGCTTTAGGGTTAGGGTTTAGGGTTTAGGGTTTAGGGTTCAGGGTTCAGGGTTCAGGGTTTAGGGTTTAGGGTTCAAGATTCGACGTCAACTCGCGCACGTGGCCCAAAGTCCTAGGGTCCCTGAACCATGAACCCGAGAACCCTGCGGTTTAAGGTTTGGGGTTTGGGGTTTAGGGTTTAGGGTTTAGGGTCTGGAACACCCTCGCCCCCCCCAAATAGACCGACCAAACAAAAACAAAGGGCAACAAAGGAGAAATCGAAACCGTCTTCACTCTTTCAACCCGCTAAAGCTGACAAACCCGATAAACCCAATAGACTTCAATAGACCCGGTACTCACTACAAACCCGGTAATCACTACAAACCCTAAACCCTAAACCCTAAACCCTAAACCCTAAACCCTAAACCCTAAACCCTAAACCCTAAACCCTAAACCCTAAACCGGGCCGAGCCGCGACTCGGCGGCGGTAGAACTCCTGGGCGTCGCCATCGGTGGTGAATCCGGCAGGATCCTCGGCTCGGGGGAGATGATCGGGGGGTTGAGGGAGCTTAGGGTTTAGGGTTTAGGGTTCAGGGTTTAGGGTTTAGGGTTTAGGGTTGAGGGCTTCTAATTGGGGCTTAGAGTGTATTGTTTCCGGGTGCACCCCCGAACCCAATCTCTTCTCTTGCTCGCTCGCGATGGGGTCTCTTCTCGCTTGTCTCTCCGGGCATGTTGAAACCATAAACCCTAAACCCTAAACCCTAAACCCTAAACCCTAAACCCTTGTCTACCTCAAGGCTCAGGGCACTTGAGTCATGGAAACTTTAGTTGCAAGGAAGCCGAGAGGATGTGCTCATAACCCAGGAAAGGCCCCTGAACCCTAAACCCTAAACCCTAAACCCTAAACCCTAAACCCACTCAGAGTCATTTCATCGCGTGCCGAGAATCCCAGAAGCCGACGGGGGCCTGGACGCCAAGCTCCTTGGAACATCCGTGCGCTTTGCGCCCTTCAGGCCGCTTCTGGGGTGACTTTAGGGCTTAGGGTTTAGGGTTTAGGGTTTAGGGCTAGGGTTTCGGGTTCAGGGTTTAGGGTTTAGGGCTAGGGTTTAGGGTTGAGGGTTTGGGGTTTCGGGGTTTAAGAGTATCCGGGGAACCTAGCCGCCGAAAAAGAGGGAGCAAGGCCGGGAGGCTTTGGCTGGCTTTTGCTTGGAGGGGCTTCGGGTTTAGGGTTTAGGGTTTAGGGTTTAGGGTTTAGGGTTTAGGGTTTAGGGTTTAGGGTTTAGGGTGTAGGGTGTAGGGTTTAGGGGCCTTCAGCCTGATGTTTCCCATGTTCCTGCAAAAGCTTCACGCCTTCAGCCACTGATTCGACCCAAGCGTCGTTCTCGAACGCGCGGAGAGGGGACTCCGTGTAGTTCGCCCAGTCACCTGAGCTAAGGGGACCCCTAGACGGGACCCTTATAAGGGATGAATTAATCTTTTTCCCCTATACAACCCTTATATATACAATATATATATATATACATATATATATACACATTAATATATACCTTATTGCAAAACCTAAGTAGCCCCTAAAAAACCCTAAAGAACCCTTAAGGTCTGTCCTTTAGTCCGTCACCTGAGCCGCAGAGGGCCGATTGTTGGCCGGAGATGGGAAAGAACAAACTGCCTGTGAGGCTGCCAAACCTCCCAAAGCCTAAACCTTAACCCCTAAACCCGAAACCCTCTCAAACCATCAACCTAAAACCCTGCTAAACCCTAAAACCCTGAAATCCCTCAACCCAAAAACCCAAAACCCTAACACCCCAGACTCCCTCGAGGTGTGCTTTGGAGCCGAGCGACCCCATGCGGAGCCCGTGAGACCATCCTGCGTCCCAGAAAAGGCAACAAGACCCCAAGCGACAATTGCTTTTTAGGGTTTAGGGGTTTAGGGTTCTTAGGGAAGTTGCATGGTCCCTCGGTATGACTCTACGTACCCTTAGGCTACTAGACCCACAGATTAACCTAACAATGATGAGGGTTTGGGGTTTAGGGTTCAGGGTCCTGTGTGTGTGTTTGTGTGTGATGCTGCACCGCCGCCAGAGCACGGAGACGGCGGGTTGTGTCACATTGTCCGGGTTTGCGGTCAAAATATGGTCAAGTTTAAGGTTTAGGGTTTATGGTTTAGCGTTTAGGGTTTAGGGTTTGAGGTTTAGGGTATAGGGTCAAAGGTTTAAAAGCCCGAACCGTGCCTGCAGCCCTTTCAAAAACACACCCCGTGGCCAAGACCCCAAAATCCGCCTCAACTGCCAGCCTGGCCCGGCTACACCTCCCCAGACCAGACTGCTGAGCTTAGGGTTTAGGGTTTAGGTTTTCGGGTTTCGGGTTTCGGGTTTAGGGTTTAGGGTTGAGGGTTGAGGGTTTAGGGTTTGGGGTTTAGGGTTTAGGGTTTCGGGCTGCATTCAGTGGTGCCATGTGAGAGTTTCCGCAAATTGGGGGAGTACCCTTCTTGGCAGCGCCCGTAAGAAGAATGTATCTAGCTTGCGGTACATGGAGGGCGGGGCGGAACCCGTATTGTATTTCGGAAAATAACCATGCGCAGCAACATAAATTCAGCAGCTCTTCCCGCGCCGTAGATTGACAGTACTCTGTCACTTGAGCCATGCATTCCTCTACACCTACGTAGAAAGACGGTCTTGAACAAACACAAGGCGAGCCCTTCGCCACACACGTGCGCAGACCAAACCTGATATCGATGCCTGGAAGAACATCCCGATGATCGCCATCATTGCCAGACGGCCGTTCGCGAGCTCGGCATTGAGCTTCTTCTTCTTCAGCCTCGGCAGGCGCATGATGGAACAGCATCTCAAGAAGGCAGCCACGAGGAAGAACCAGCTACGGTATCGCATTCCATTAGGACCCTTGTAAGGGACCTTAGGGGATAGTTAGGGATTATATAGGAGAATAAGATTAAGGGCCCATTTCGCTCAGGGGTCCCTTGTGGTCCCTCCTTATACCCCTTAACATTAAGTTCCCATTCGTGGCCCGCGGTGCCGGCTCCGAAGAAGCCGGGTGGGCACGCAGCCATCAACACCCAGAACGGAGCCCCGAAAACCCCCCCCCCCCCTAACCCTAAACCCAAACCCTAAACCCTAAACCCTAAGCCCTAAACCCTAAGCCCTAAACCCTAAAGCCCTGAAGATGACCCGCTTCGCGGCATCTCAAAGGCGGGCGAGGCACTCCTCATCCTCGACGGGCTTGCCGCCCAGGTAGGACGGAAGGCCTGACGGCGCTTCAAGGCTGGATTAGGGTTTAGGGTTTAGGGTTTAGGTTTAGGGTTTAGGGTTTAGGGTTTAGGGTTTTGGGTTTAGGGTTTAGGGCTTCGGATTTAGGGTTTAGGGCTTAGGGTTTATAGGCCTGTATGGGCCAGTCCTCCAGAGGGCTGCGATTTCCCAACCTAACCTTCTCACTCTTGTAGGTTCATAGTTCCTCTTGTATAGGGCCCTAAAAACCCTAAACCCTAAACCCTAAACCGGAGTGCATTTGGCGACAAACTCTTCGCCGACGAGGCACCCAGGGCGCCGTAGTCGTAGTTCAGGGCATCCTCGCCGAAAAGGCGGGTCTGGAGCTTGCCTGGCAAGAAGGTTCGGGGTTTGGGGGTTAAGGGTTTGGGGTTTGGGGGTGTAGGGCTTAGGGCTTAGGGTTTACGACTTAGGGTCCAGAATAGCGTCAGGGAAGGACTGGGACTTGAGGTTGTACGTCCTAAGGCATGTAATTTTGGCTTGGAGTAGGAGACTCGAAAGTTAGGGGGGGGCACTTGTCTCCCTAAACCCTAAACCCTAAACCCTAAACCCTAAACCCTAAACCCTAAAGATCCCTGAGCCGGGATTGGCTCGGTGGGCACTGGCATACAAGTTCCGGGGAGGCTTGCCGAACCACCCGCCCCACCAGGAGAGTTGTGGAAACCAAGTAGATATCAGTCACTACTACTTCAGATGCATACTTCTTTGTTGATACTCTTTGTTTGCTAAACTACGATGAGAGCCCTGTCTTCAGGTTGACATGGGGTTTAGGTTCAGAACTCTTGGTCCCGACAAGCGCGGTTTCCAGAGAACTTGTATGGGCGCGGTGGCGCAGCCCTAAACCCTAAACCCTAAACCCTAAACCCTAAAAACCCTTTTGGGATCCTCGGGATCCTACACTCTATCATCCCGAGAGCCTAGAAACCCTAAACCCCACGCCGTGTCCGAAACCCCAAGGCCTTGGGATATGAAACCCTACTTGGGGGTTCATGGGTACTTCAGTCCTCTAAGTAGGTTCTACGCAGACTTCTTCGCGGGGTTAGAAGCCCGAAACCCCAGCTCTAGACCCTGAACCCTAGCCATGAACCTCCAAGAAAGCCCTCAAAACCCTAAACCCTCATTGAACCCTAAACCGTCAAACCCGAAACCCCAAAGCCCATCCGGCTCAGAGAATCAGGCCTGGAGGGTTGAAGGGCCTCTGGTCGGCAATCCAGAGGTCGCAAAGACCGCAGAACACGGTGTACCTCAAGGGTTTAGGGTTTAGGTTTTAGGGTTAAGGGTTTAGGGTTTTGGGGTCTAGGTTTAAGTGCATAGGCTAAGTAGAGTAAGCAGAAGAGCTTTGAGTTCTAACTTGGAGCTTCCCTGGATTTTGAGGCCGATGGCCTCTGCAAGGGTACGGTTCCTACGTCTACTTAAGGGCGAGGGTTGCGAGGCTTATAAGGATTGATGCTTAGATCTTGTAAAGGCCTGTGGCCTGTTTGTCTGTTACCCCTATACTTTCACAAAGCCCCTGGATACCCTGATATGAACCCCCTACAAAACACACACCAATATAATTTACATCCTTTTTCTAGAGCGGGTTTTTGTATCAATCCAATTTCGGCCGGGACTTCCCCCAAAAAAACTTGGGCCAAGAGCCTGATATCTGAGTTTGGGCCTGGCTGCGAATACTAAAAGGGTGTGGATGGAGAAAATGACTTCCCAGAAGCATCCCAAAGAACGGTAAAACAAATAAAAGCTCTTGCCGCGAGCTCTTTCAATCGAACAGAGACCGTGTGACAAGGGTGCTAAAACCTAAACCCAAAACCCTCAACCCTAAAAAACCTAAACCTTAAACCCAGCAAAGATGGGTGGAGTCCCACACTTCAGCAAGAAACTGGCTCAGAGGCAGCTCCTTGCTGACTAGGGTTTTGGGGGGTTTAGAGCTTATAGGGTTTCGGAAATGCAGGGCTCAGGGCTGAGGGTTTAGGAACCAAACCTGACCTGAGAGACATGCACCTGTGCAAGCTTTGAGCTTTTCTCTTGCGACCTCCACCCCCTACTACCTCCCAGAATTTAGGATTTGAGGTTTAGGGCTATCCCCCCCCCCGCCCCCCCAATTAGGTTCCCCCCAGAATTAAGGCTTATTTAGGGATAACTAAGCCCAATGAAGGGTATTTACGGGAGGAACCTCTATAGACGGGGGTAGTAGGGGAACCCATGAACCACTGCCGCCAGAGTGCTGGAACCAGCCGACCGCGGGAACGATGGTGACCGCCTTGAGGCCGTTCCTTTGTAAAGGCGCGTGCCGAAACCAAATGCAGCACCAAACTACCCTAAACCCTAACCCTAAACCCTAAACCCTAAACCCTAAACCCTAAACCCTTCGCAGCAGCAGCCGAGGGGCGGGATGTCGGCGAACTTGAGGTCAGTGCTGGGAGAAAGGAAGCCAGGGAAACGGAAGAACTCCTGCACCTCTTCGGGCCCGAGGTTGGCATTTTGTTAGGGTTTAGGGTTTAGGGTTTAGGGTTTAGGGTTTAGGGTTTAGGGTTTTTTGTTTAGGGTTTAGGGTTTAGGGTTTAGGGTTTAGGGTTTAGGGTTTAGGGTTTAGGGTTTAGGGTTTAGGGTTTAGGGTTTAGGGTTTAGGGTTTAGGGTTTAGGGTTTAGGGTTTAGGGTTTAGGGTTTAGGGTTTAGGGTTAGGTTTAGGGTTTAGGGTTTAGGGTTTAGGGTTTAGGGTTTAGGGTTTAGGGTTTAGGGTTTAGGGTTTAGGGTTTAGGGTTTAGGGTTTAGGGTTTAGGGTTTAGGGTTTAGGGTTTAGGGAGTAGTGTTTAGGGCTGAGTGTTTAGGGTTTGGGTGTGTATGTTTACACATATCTCGTACACTCTACGAGGCCGAATATCCCCACATGCACACTGCTGCAGAACCTCAAAAGGACGCCCGACTTATGCACTCCCCAAGGTGTATGTACAAAATTACACGTTATTACGTATAAACAGAATGACCCTAGAATCACGTAAGCTCCAGACTGATTCATTGCACCGCCAAGGCACGATGTAGCCGGTGCACGCGAGCATGGAGACGCGTCCGTGCTTAATCTCTACCTGATGGTGGGATGGGAACAAAACCAACCTTATGGTCACTAAAGGTACTTGTGGCAGCACCGCCTGAGTACCTGATCGTTTGCGTTAGCAGCACGTCGGCCGTTAGCCACAGCCACTATGCAACTAGCCAAGACGGGTCACAACTCTACGTCAATCTGGCATTTACCCGCCGCGGCGCTTAAAGTACTTAAGCCACAAACTAACCTCTGATGCTCACGGCCCTTGATTGAAGGCAAGCAGAACGCCCCGCGAAGGCTACCCTTTCCCCGGAAACCCTTGCAGGATCTTCCGACAAGGTCTGCACATGCCTAACTCGCTGTTGTAAGCTTCGAGCACCATCTCCATGCGTCGCCCTTCATCACGCTAAGTCGCAGCATGAAACCCGCAACAGCCCCGAAGACGCTTACCCAAACAACCGACCTCTTGCCCTGAAAGAACCCTAAACCCTAAACCCCAAACCCTAACGCCAAACCCTAACCCCCAAACCCCCCCCCCCCCCCCCCCACACATGCAAACGCCGCAAACGAGGCGCAACGCGGCGGCGGTAGAACTCCTGGGCATCGCCATCGGAGGTGAAGCCCGCAGGATCCTAGGAACTCAAAAGAAGCCCGCAGGATCCTCGGGTTGAGGGCCTTAGGGTTTAACTTTAGCCTCTATTGAGCCTCTATAGATATATACAAATGTACATCTACACATAGGCATATACACCTGTAGACAGAAATACATGTCGACATATATGTACATATAAATATATATATGTACATATATATATATATATACAAATAATTCAGATACATATACACACACACATGCTGAACTTTAAGTATATATATATATAGATACATATATACCTATATATGTATATATGTATGTATGGCCCCCATATACACATACAAATCGCACCAATTCAGACATATGCGCATGTGCATAGGCATTTACTTTCTTGCTGAATTATCAGTAGACTTGCGTGCCCGTTGGTACTTCTGCGTATGCTCATTTTACGGTAATACCTGTTTTCATATACTTAGTTAGCCTTCACTTGTGCTTGATCTTTAGTCTTGCACGTGCACTTAGACTCATAGTTGCACTTCAATGTCTATTCAGACGTAGTATACCCTAAACCCTAAACCCTAAACCCTAACCCTATTGACATGTGTTTGGGCCAGAAATCGGGGAGCCGTAAATTTCGCCCAAGCATCCCAAAAGCCCAGGGGGGCCTGCACTCCGAGCTCGCTCCTGAGCGATAGCCAGTGCGCTCCATCAGGGTCTAGGGTTTAGGGCCGAGGTTTAGGGTTCAGGGTTTAGGGGTCTAGGGCTAGGGTTTCAGGTTTGGTTGGAGTTGACGTGCGGGTTTTGTAGGTGTTTTAGGCTTTAGTGAAGGGGCGGTTAAGGGTTTAGGGGTTAAGGTTCAGAGTCCCTAAACCCTAAACCCTAAACCCTGAACCCTAAACCCTAAACCCTAAACCCAGTTCAAAGAGCAGTAGCTGGTCATAATGCGGTAGGATGCTCGCGGCATCAACATTACTTAAAGATTCACGGGTACTCGTGACCCCCAATGATCGTTGCACTTCGAAGCCCCCTAAGTCCTCTAGGTAGGTTACAAGTAGACTTCTGATTGGGGTTCTAAGCCCTAAACCCTAAACCCTAAACCCTAAACCCTAAACCCTAAACCCTAAACCCTGCACCCTAAACCCTAAACCCTAAACCCTCAACCCTAAACCCGAACCCAAACTGCATCCGTGATGCTCGAAGGCTCGGAGAGCTACCCTCTCCTCGCAAACAAGAGCTGCTTTTGGGGTTTAGGGTTTAGGGTTCTTGGGGTTTAAGTTTAGGGTTTAGGGTATAGGGTTTAGGGTTTAGGGTTTAGGGTTAGGGTTTAGGGTTTGGTTTAGGGTTTAGGGTTTAGGGTTTAGGGTTTAGGGTTTAGGGCTTTGGGTTTAGGGTTTGGGGTTTGGGGCTTGGGGTTTGGGGCTTGGGGCTTGGGGCTTGGGGCTTGGGGCTTGGGGCTTGGGGCTTGGGGCTTGGGGCTTGGGGCTTGGGGCTTGGGGCTTGGGGCTTGGGGCTTGGGGCTTGGGGCTTGGGGCTTGGGGCTTGGGGCTTGGGGCTTGGGGTTTAGTGTGGTCCTAAAGCCTATGTAAAGCGCTTAAACCATACACATAAACCTCAAGAACACCGCACTCAAACCCTGCAGAGAGTCCTCTTTAAAGACAACCGAGACGCCAAAACCTTTACAGTCCCCATACTAAACCCTAAACCCTAACCCTAAACCCCAACTTTTTGCCACTAAACCCCGGGTACCGATGTGGGCATTTCCCAAAATAGGGGTACCCCTTTTAAACCCCCAAATAGTATAGAACCCCCTTAAGGGACCCCCCAAAAAGGGTACCCCTGGTTTCGGAAACCTCCATATTCGACAACATTTTGTAAGAGAAGCCCTAAACCCTAAACCCTAAACCCTAAACCCCCGGGCTACCAAGATGATCTTCGCTCCTTCTTGGGCGCGGCGACTGCCGCGCCGACCGCGGCGCCCAAGCCACAAAGTGCCAGGCCGGTGCTGGAGGAAGAGGCCGAAGAGGCCTCCGACTGCGGGTTCTTAGGGTTTGGGCTTTAGGGTTTATGGTCTAGGGTTTAGGGTTTCAGAGTTTAGGGTTATTGTGGTTTAGGGTTCTTAGGGTTCTGAGGGTTCTTAGGGTTCTTAGCGTTCTTAGGGTTCTTAGGGTTCTTAGGGGTTCTTAGGGTTAAGGGTTTAGCGTTTAGGATTCAGGGTTCAGGGTTCTTGGGGTTTAGGGTTTAGGGTTCAAGGTTTAGGGTTTAGGGTTGAGGGTGTAGGGTTTAGGGTTTAGGGTTTAGGGAAGCCCCCCCAAGCGCCGCCTTCGCCTGGCCCTGGGCGGTGCTGCGCAGCGCAGGGCCGCGGGTAGTGCTTGGCGCGGTTACAAATGCCGTGCCTGGCTTAGGGTTTAGGGTTTAGGGTCTAGGGTTTAGGGTTTGGGGTTTGGGGTTTGGGTTTGGGGTCTAGGGTCTAGGGTCTGGGGTTTGGGGTTTGGGGTTTGGGGTTTGGGGTTTGGGGTTTGGGGTTTGGGGTTTGGGGTTTGGGGAGAAACCTCCAAAAATGGTATTCCCAACATTCCTTGAAACACTCCAAAGCCCTACACCCTACACCATAAAGTAGACTTAATAAAAACCAGCTGGTAAAGTCTCCGGATAGTAGCCGCAGGGCCCCTAATACCGAAACTCTAACTAAGTCTATACTAGGAAGGTACATTGGAACTTCTCCAAACTCGTGTCCCTTTCTGGGGTCCTTTTGATGCGGGTGCCGTACTAATATTTGTAGGACCCAAAAAAGGACCTAACTTAGAGAACCACCCATATGGTTACCCTAAACCCTAAACCCTAAACCCTAAACCCTAAACCCTAAACCCTAAACCCCCTTTCTAATCAAGAGCACATGGCCCGCAGATTTGCGCCGAGGAGCAGCCCGCAGCGGCCAGGGCAGCAGCGGCAATTTGCTGGGTGGAAGGAGCCTCGGCCGATATTGAGGTGCTTGGAGGGTTTAGGGTTTAGGATTTGAGGTTTAGGGTTTAAAAGGTCTAGGGTTTAGGGTTTAGAGGGTTTAGGGTTCAAGAGAGCTAGGTAAGGTTATGAAACAGGATAGTGAGGATGGCCTAGCATGGGGTGCACTTTCAACCATGCTTACGAAGGTCCCTGAGCCTTCAAGTTTTCGCTCTCGATCAGGGTTTAGGGTTTAGGGTTTAGGGTTTAGGGTTTAGGGTTTAGGGTTTAGGGTTTAGGGTTTAGGGTTTAGGGTTTAGGGTTTAGGGTTTAGGGTTTAGGGTTTAGGGTTTAGGGTTTAGGGTTTAGGGTTTAGGGCTCTTGTCTTGACTTCTCTTCGCAAGCCCGCCTGCACTCTCTGGCTTCTTGGCTTCATGAGGTTTCAGACAGGCTTGAAACATGGCCGGGGCTCTCAGGGCAGTTGCAGGGTCCCCGATGGGCCCGTAAATTGGGGGAACACTGTGATATGCCAACCCTAAAACCCTAAACCTCGGCCCAAGCCGAAGAAGCCGAAGCGTAAAAGTTTGCATCCAAGGGGCCATGGTGTTCCTAAAGCAAGGGAAGGACCAAGGTCTACTCTAAGATTCCCAGCGATGGCTGCGGCCACACGGGACTTTTGAGGTTGAGGGTTGAGGGACCGACCCTCTTGGGGGGTTCAGGGGCCAGGGGTCTTAAGGGTTTGGGGTTTAGGCTCGAAGGGTTTGGGTTTAAGGCGCTTGCTTCAGAGGAACCTCCAGCCCAAGACTCAGGGACTGGTTTGGTTGCTACTTGCTAAGCTTACCTCAACAGGCGTGGTGCGCGACCCCAAGACCTTAGGTAGCATAAGCCTGAAGATTTTATTGTACACCGTACCGCACGAACCAGAAACCTACTATCTTGCAGGGTCTTTGCTCGAAACGCGCCATGTTGATTCCTTACGGTCTAGACTCTCGACCCCATGTTCTAGGCCCAAGAGTTACCCAGAAATAAACAAGGGGGTACCCTTTTTGGCTTCAAGGGGGCTTTTCCAGGCAGCCTTAACTCCAAAAAAGTGGATAGCAGCCTACTCTGGGTCCTAAAAAATACACATGCGCCCTTGCCTGCTTGAGCGCACCGGAACCTTTGCTTGAGAAATGCATCATCTCGAACCAAAAACCTCGGCTTAGGCAGGGGGGGGGGGCTTCTACTGGCCTCCACAGGCCCTCTCTCGACATTGCCATAAGTATATACGTGCGTATACATATACATACATACATACATACATACATACATACATACATACATACATACATACATACATACATACATACATACTTGTATTTATATATATATATATATGTGTGTGAGATTACATATGGGTACCCGAAAGGGACGATGACTTGTCACATATCTACACATCAACCTTCATATGATGGTTTCCGAAATTGGGCGGGGGGGGGGGGGGGGGGGTGCACCTTGTTGGGGTCCTTATTGTAAGGAAATCCTTCTATTTGGGGGTCTATATTAGAGTCCCTTATTATCATAAACCCCCACATAATGAAGCCTCATCTCCAGTGAGGCCGAGCCACTTCTGTCTGGAGGTGCTTGGCACACGTCCCGGCCTTGGCGGCTCCAGAAGTACCACCAAATATACCCCAACACAACACAATCCTCCTGATATGATCCCCACGGATACCCCTTAACCCTAAACCCTAAACGCTAAACCCTAAACCCTATAAACCCTAAACCCTATAAACCCTAAACCCTATAAACCCTAAACCCTACGCCCCCACATGAATGGGAAGTGCGCGCCTTGTCTTCTGAGCTGCTGCCGAGAGGCTCCTGAAAGGAACCCTAGAGGCGCAATCGCAACTTTTGCGTGCAGCCCCTCCGCGGTTTTAAAAAAGAGCTGGTGAAGCCAATGGCTGACGGCTTGGGGTTCAGGGTTTAGGGTTTAGGGTTTGGGGTTTAGGGTTTGGGTTTAGGGTTTGGGGTTTAGGGTTTGGGGTTTAGGGCTCAGGGCTTGGGGTTTAGGGTTTAGGGCTTGGGGCTTGGGGTTTGGGGTCGTGGCACAGTAGGCTTCAGGGTGTACAGTTTCCCAAGGTCGTGGGCCACCAATCGCCCCCCCCCCCCAAGCACAGTGGGGCTTAGGACTATTGCAGGGCTAGGGTTTAGGGTTTAGGGTTTAGGGTTTAGGGTTTAGGGTTTAGGGCTTAGGGCTTAGGGCTTAGGGCTTAGGGCTTAGGGCTTAGGGTTCAGGGTTCAAGGTTAGGGGTTCAGGGTTTAGGGTTCGTCCTTCCAGCCACACCGAGTGCAACAGATTGCAACAAACGGATACGCAGGGGATTCCAAGCCCTGAGCCCTACACACCCCAAACCCTAAACCCTAAACCCCAAACCACTTTTTCGGCACTGCTGCGGGATTGGGCGCTTGCCATGGAGGAGCCAGCACAGCGCTGGATGCCCCAAAGCCCGACCAGGTTGGCTCAAGCCCTTCGACGAAATAACGACTTAGTTCATGTCAGCAATGATAATGAAACTAATAAAAATAGTACTCGCAATCGTAGTCGTAAAAATAATAGTACGCGTAGTCGTAAAAGTAATAGCAATAGTAGTCGTAATCGTAATCGTACTTGGCAGTAATAGTAATAATAGTAATAGTTGTAAGAATAGTAATCGTAATAGTAATAGTAATAGTAATAGTAATTGTAATAGTAATAGTAATAGTAATTGTAATTGTAATAGTAATAGTAATAATAATAATAGTAATAGTAACAATCGTAATAGTAATAGTAATAGTTATAGCAATAGTAATAATGCTTGGAATAGTTATCGTAAGAATAATTATAATAGTAATAAGAATAATAATAGTACTAGTAATAGTAATCGTAACAATAATAATACTAGTAATACTAATAGTAATAATAAGAATAGTAATAGTACTAGTAATAATAATAGTAATAATAATAGTAAAAGTAAAAGCAATAGTAATAGTAATAATAAAAGTAATAATAATCGGAATAGGAATAATAATAGTAATAGTAATAGTAATAGTAATAATAATGGTAATAATAATGGTAATGGTAATGGTAGTGGTAATAATACTAGTAATAGTAATAGTAATAGTAATAGTAATAGTAATAATAGTAAATAGTAATAGTAATAGTAGTAATAGTAATAGTAATAGTAATAGTAATAGTAATAGTAATAGTAATAGTAATAGTAATAGTAATAGTAATAGTAATAGTAATAGTAATAGTAATAGTAATAGTAATAGTAATAGTAATAATAGTAGTAATAATAATAGTAATAGTAATAGCATTAGAAGTCGTAATAATACTAGTACTAGTAATAGTAATAGTAATAGTAATAGTAATAGTAATAGTAATAGCAATATTAATATCAATACTAGTACTAATACTAATAATAACAGTAATAGAAATTGTGAGCAGGTCTAAGCACGCACGTTGCATGTGCCGAGCTGCCAGAACCAGTACTGTAGTTTTCTTTGCATGTGTAGTTTTGCAATTCGTTTCAATGCCAATTTTGGCTCAAGTACCGAGCTTGTGCCTTTGAGCACGGTAGAGTCGTACAGTAGCTCTTAGGTTGCTGTGCGGTCCGACCGGACGCACTCAGGCGTAGCTGCACAAGTGCTTGAACTCGCGAAGTCGTAAAACAGCGTGGCCGGGCTGTGATTGCATTGGCTTAGTGCAAGTCCAGTGCTGGTCGACTTCACAATTGGGGGCTGTTCTGGGAAAGTACAGCTCTTGTGCCTACGGCCCGAGTGGGCAAGCATTGCTTTGCTTGTCTGTCGCGGTCCGTGACCTGGACGCGTGGACTGTGTGCCACGCTTGCGGCCTGTTAACCAAGGCGCGGCGCTTCGCGTGCCACGCCTGCGGCCTGTTAACCAAGGCGCGGCAATGTCCGCAGAGGTAGCAGGTCAGGCCGAGGGCGTCACCCTCCTCGAAGCTATCGAGGGTGGAGACGTTCCCTATCCCGAGCGGATGAGCTACGTCGCTTGGCTTAAGTGGCGTAGGGAGACTGGCAGCCGTCCATTGTCCAAGCGGGATGGGGTCAGCACTACGCCAGAGCAAGAGGCGGCTCTCTGGCGGAAAGTCATGAAGTTCCTCCATGACGCCGAAGGCGAGGACGAGGAGGAAGAGGAAGAAGAAGAGGACTCCGAGCTAGTCCCTGAGGCCTCGGGCGCTGGAGGCGACAGTCCGCCGCGGGTGGACGTCAGCGCCGCGGCTAGGGAGCTGGCCATGGTCCCTACCGGTGCTGCCTATGTCCCTGCTACGGCACCAGGGTCCCGCCCGGCGGGGCCGTCCGGTCCGCCGTCGACAGCAGGTTCGGTGCCAGGCACCGCAGAGGGCTTGCAGGCGGAGCTGCGCGCGATTTTCCGTCCAGACCAAGAACCGGTCGCGGACTACTTGACGCGCGTTTCGCGGATTGTCCTCGCGCTGAAGGCGCATGGAGTCACGGTGAGCTCCCGTGACCTTGACGCCTTAAGCACCAAAGCCACCTCCTTGCGGATGAGTTCTCCAAGATAGGCGGGGACTGGCATCCGACAAAGATGGTCCGTCGGCTGCGGACCAGATTCTCGGTCGCGGCTTTGCGCGGTGGCGAGGACCCCGAAGACGCAGAGGAGATTCAGCGCGAAATCCAATGCATCGGGGAGCTTATCCTCGCGTTAGGGGGAAAAGAAAGCTCGAGCCAAGAGAAGGTTTGGAGCTCCCCGTCCGATGTGCCAGTTGAAGCCGTGGGGCCGCGTTCCCCAGGGCTCCCACAGCCTGCGACTGCAAGTGGGTTGGGGGTAGGATTGGACCGTGGAGGTTTGCACACTGCAGAGGTTGCAGGTGGTCCTTCCGCGGCCCGTGACCTGGGCGCGACGGACGGCGATTCCCCTTTGCGCGCGAAGCTTGCGGCGCTGGAGATGGAGATAGAAGCCCTGAAGCGAGGTTCAGACGGCGGAGGTTCGCAGACCGGGTCCCAAAACCCGGCGGGCGATTTCGCCGCCGCACTCGCCGCCCAAACTGAAGCGCTGAAAGAAGCGTTAGCGCAGAGGGGCGGGCAAAGCTCCATAACTACGGTCAAAACTGACCTCACGTGGCCGACGCTGACCGACGACAAGTCGGACGCGCGAGACGTTGTCCTGTTCTACGAGGAGTTCGAGGACGTCTGCGCGCTGGCCAACAACTGCCGCGGTATGAGTGCGCGCGAGAAGCTGCTAGCGCTACGCGGGCGCTGCCGCGGCTCGCGCATGAAGACGTACACGAACGCGTACCGCGCAGCGTGGAAGTCGGGAGAGGTTCTCTCCGATCCACAGGCGGTGTACGACCGCATCAAGAACAAGCACTTGATGTTCGGGGAATCGCGGGAGGAAAGAGAAGTCCGCGTGGATGGTGAGCATGCCTCCCTCGCAAAGGGCAAGCTCACAGGCCACCAATTCGAGCCTTTGTTTGAGGCATCGATCGCAGACCTTGAGGCGGTGGGTCTTGGGAAGACCCCACGAGAGTTGTATCTCTCGTACCTCCGCAAGATGCCCCCGTATCTCCAAAAGGAGATACGGAACGACAAGCGGTTGT